AGGAGCCCACGGAGCCGCCCCAGGCCCAGGAAGAGGCGGAGGGCTGGGTGGCAGCGGATGGCTGGCTCGTGCCATGCCAGGTGCAGGGTCTGTTGGCTGGGTGCTGGCAGGCTTGCACCTGGCACGGGCACCATAGCCAGAGCATGCCCCTTTAAGGGCTCCGGGGCCGGGAGGGGGGCAGACGAGTTTCCCTGGTTTTGCCCAGAGTGGCCACCAGGGAAAGCTGGGGAGGGCTAGCCTCCCATTAGTTCGAATTAAGTGGCTACACAGCCCTGAAGATTATGAAGTTGAAGCCTGATTCAAAGCCCACTAAAGTCAATGGGAATCTCTCTGAGAGAAGATTGTGCACAAAGGTGAGACCAGAATGTTGATCAGTGTTCCATCTAACAGTTTGTATCCTTGGGTGGGTTGAAATTTCTTATGTGCAACACCAATATTGAGGTAGTATGTGGATGTGACCACCAATACATACACACACACACACATATAAAATTAACACATGGCTTCAGGGTTTCTAGACAGATGCATGTTTCAAAGATCTTGCAAATAAGGTTTCATCCTACAAAGCAACTAGCATTACACCTAGTACTTGCTACTTCTGACTCATAAGAGCCAGAACTCTACCACATAGCAAAGATCCAGCTCTAATGCAATACAATATACCATATATTAATTAATAACACACGATTTTAAAAATCATTAAGATCAGAGTTTCAGATATCTGCAACACTCGAAAAATGTGTTAAAAGAGCCTTTTTTTCTTACCTAAAGCCATTAACACCCATGTAAACTTTGTCTGAAATGTAATCATGCGAATGTCCTCCTGGCACACACTAAATGCCCAGCTAAAGCACAAATTATCTACACCTCATAGCACAAACTCCCCCCACCCACCTATACCTCACACCAATGCCAGAACCCACCCCTTTTTTCCCCCCACCTACCCCATGCAGTCAACCCTTTATCTCCCCTTTCCCAGGAGACTTAAGAGTGATGAGTTCCTGCCTCTCTCGCCACTTGCATACAGGACTCTTCAAACTCCACTGCCCTGCCATC